CCCACCTCGCAGCGCCGCGCAGCGCCGCCCTCCCTCTGCCGCCTCCCGCTCCCCTCCGACTTTCTGCCGGGCGCGCCGCTCTCAGGCTACCAGCCTCACCTTGACCCGTTCCAGCTGCTTGAGGACGTGCTCCCGCCGCCGCCCCGCCGCCCGCTTTCCCCCGGTTCCGCCGGGGCCGCCGCCGCCGCTCCCGGCCCCGCTGTTCCGCTCCGATTTCGAGCTGGGCGCCATTTTCACCCCCTCCCTCCACTTCCGGAGCAACCGGCCCCTTCGCCCCACCCCCGCCGCCTTCTGATTGGTCCTTTCTCTGCACAGCACCCCGCTGGTTGGATGACGGCCCGTACTCCGGGCCTCGTCCCACTACACCGGTCCATCAAAGCTGTCTCAGCTTTTGATTGGTAGATATGGTAACATCTCCCACCTTATTCCCGTCCTCCCTCAAAGAGGAACCATTCAGAAGTCCTATTTGAGCGCCGAGGCCAGAAAATCTTAACTGGATAGGCGAAGAGTCCTGTCAGACGTGACGTCATCACGCTCCTGTGGCTAGTGGGTTGCCATGGAGACTACAGGCCGTTCAGGGCGGTGGGCAGGGCCACCGGAATCTGTGGTCCACAAGGGTTGGAATCCCCTGCTCAGGGCATTAGGTGCGCAGCAAGGCCGGAGGAGCGTCCTTGGGCAACTAGGCAGGAGATAAGGAAAAGATGATTCCGTGGAAAAAACAAAGAAGGGATCCCATTAAGATCTTCCAGATGGGCTGGCTGTTTAGACGACGATGATGGAGATAAGCATCCATCAAATACCGCATTTTTGTTTTTGTTTTTTAATATTGCTTTTCAGGGGCCAGGAATGGTTCTGAGTTTACAACACTTCCTTGTGTAGCTCTGTTAGGCCTACCATACTAATGATGGTAATAAAAATTACTATGATATATGCCTGCTTCATGCACCATCTTTGCATGCATTTGCTCATTTAATCTCTGCAGTGGTCTTAGAGTAGAGCCTTTATTTATGAAACTCAGTCCTTTTCAAATTTTAAAAAATATTTTATTATTTTTATGTGTATGAGTGTCTTGCCTGCATGTGTTAAGTACACCTGTTATGCAATGCCTGCAGAGGTCAGAAGAGGGCGATGGATCTCCTGGAACTGGAGTTATGGAGGGCAGCCACCATGTGGGTGCCAGTATTCTACCCTGGGTCTTCTGCAAGAAGAGCCAGTACTCTTAACCGCTGAGCCATCTCTCCAGCCCTGAAGCTGAGTTTTAGAGTGAGCTGTTTGGAAGACATAGCAGTGTATACCAAAGTTGCTGACCTCTGTTACAGTCGCAGAGGACGCAGCTCAAGCACCCACATTCCATAGAATTTATCAGGTACCCAACTAACATGACAGGTGATAAACAAGGAAGTGTGTATTTGTCATTGAGATTCAGGTAGGGTTAGAAAGAAGAGGGGCATGTGAAAAGCAGCCCTGTGAAGGGGAAGCAGAGGAGAACATTCCATCAAAGACAAAAAGTCAGACAATGCAGCTAAACTGCAGTGGTATATCAACTAATGATGGGGACATTTTCTAAGAAATTGTCATTAGGTGATTTCTTCTTGATGCAAAGACTTTAGAGTGCTCAGTAAACCTGCTACAGCATGACCAGTATAATGTCTATCCCGGCCACCCTGGCTGATCATCAGGGTGCTCACAACTTACAATGGGACCAGAACAGTAATGAGCAGGGAAAAATGAGCAAGGAGTCTGGGGGTATTTGTGTGAGAGTATGCTCACCTGTGTGTAGATGCATTTGCCCATGGGTGCATTGTGGAAGCCAGAGGTCAGCATCCTGTGTCTTTCTCTATCATTCTTCACTTCATTTTTTGAGACAGAGTCTCCCACTGAACCTGGAGCTTGCCATTTCAGCTAGGTTGGCTGGTACCAAGTTCCTAGGACCCTCCTGTATCTGCCCCCTGGGGCTGGAATAACAGGTGTGCTTGGTAGAGCCTGACTTTGACTTTTATGTGCGTGCTGGGGAGCCTAACCTGATACCTCATGCTTGCATAGCAAGCACTTTACCTACCAATCCACCTGCCCAGTCCCAGAATCTGGGGCTATTGCTTAATAGCAGAGCATATGCTTAGTTACTATGAGAGACCCTGAGTTCCATCCCAACAATCACAGAAGAAAAAATTTTCCAAAGAAAAAGGGAGAGGTAAGGAAATGAAAGGAGCTAGAGACAAAGATGGAGGCTACACAGCCGTCAGGGTGAGGCGTGTCAATTTTACTCATGCAGAAGGAAGAGCCTGGTAGAGGATTTTAGTGGAAGAGGATAAAAATGGATATACAACTGAAAGGATTCCTGGGGACCTGGAGAGAGCTCACGAGTTGAGAGCATGTATGTATTGCACTTGTAGAGGACTGGACTTCACTACCCAGCATCCATGTTAGCACCTGTGGGCTTCCAATTAATACCCCTGTGTTTGTTTGTTTTCAGCCTTGACTTTCGGATTTTTACCTCTGCCTCCCAAGTGTTGGGATTACAGGCAGGCACCATCATGCCTAGCTTGTTTTTTGTTTTTGTCATTGTTTTTGTTTTGAGACAGGGTCTCCCTGTAGCCCCAGCTCACCTAGAATTCACTATGTAGACCAGGCTGGCCTTGAACTCACAGAGATCTGCCTGCCTCTGCCTCCCAGTACTGAGATTAAAGGCGTGCGCCACCAGGCCTGATTGTTTCTGTTTTTTTAGACAGAGTCCCACATAGCTTAGGCTAGATTTGAACTCACAAGGTTGGCCTTGAACTTCTTTTAAAATTTTTATTTATATATTTATTTTTATTTTAAGTGTGTGTTTGCCTGCATGTATGTAAGTGTATCACGTGTGTGCAATACCTGTAGAGGCCAGAACAGGGTATCAGATACCCTGGAACTGGAGGCACAGATGGTTGTAGGCTGCCATGTGTGTGCTGGGAACTGGAACCCAGGTTGTCTACAAGAGCAGCCAATGCTCTTAACTGCTGAGCCATCTCTCCAGCTCCTGGCCTTGCACTTCTGATCCTCCTGTCTCCACCTCCAAAGTACTTGGATTATAAGTACTTGGATTACTATACCAGCTTTCCAGCTGATCTTTCTGCTACCCTGAATCACCACATGAGGTAGCCCTTCCCTTCATACAAAATCTCTTGAAATGCCAGGCCATCGGTCTTTCTTTCTTTGGCCTCAGGTCCCTCAGGTTGTCTTCATATACTAACACTGGGCTAGCAGAACAGTGATGGGTTTTCAAGAACTCTCTCAGGGATAGGGAGATGACTCTGTGGGTAAGAGTGCTTGCTGTACAAGCATGAGGACCTGAGTTCAAATCCCCAGCGTCCATGTAAAAGCCAGGCATGGCTGTGCATACCTATAACTCTGGTGTCAGGGGACAGAGATGTGGATCCTGGGAGGTAGCTATCCAGCCTAGCTTAATTGGTAAGCTCCAGGTTCAGTGAGAGACACTGTCTCTAGGGAATAAGGTATCGAGCTGTAGAGGAGGGCACCCAACATCCTCCACAAGGGCATGTACACAGACACAGACACACAGAGACACACAAGCACATACACACACAAAAAGAATCTCCCCTCTCTCCCTTCCCTCCCTAACCCCCTCAGGGTTTTCTGAGACTTGAACACCCAGCAGTCCTCCTGCCTTGGTCTTCCCAGTGCTGGGATTATAGGCATGACCTACTACATCCGGCACAAGAAGACTCTTTACTATCTTTGCATATTTTAATACATGTAAACTTGTCCCGCGCTATCGTCTCGCCAGCAAGAACGACGCGGCACACTCAGGATCCTTCTGCAGAAAAGCTTTAATGCATCTTGAGAGGGAGAGCATAAGCTTACAGGGCAAAGACCCCGAATGTCGGAAACCCAGCCCTTATATAGGTTAGTAAGCCCGTCTTGGACGTGGCAACTCTTGATTGGTCGCAAACTCATCAGCCCATATCACGCCACAAGGTAGGCAGAGACTAGAAGGTGGAAAATTACTTCGGGCATGCATACTGACTTATTTACTGCTCAGCATGAACCGGATGTGAGCGCCATCTTGTAATGGCGTCTGCAGGGACGGCAGGCAGCTCCCCACAGTTATTGCCAGCTACTGCCACTCCTCCATTCTTGTGGGTGCCGCTCCTTTGTTCTCATGGGGGTCAAGGCTGCTCCTCCACTCACCCTGGGCTGAGGCCACTCTTCTGCTCACCTGGTGCTGAGGCAGCTCTTCTGCTTGCCCTGTTCTGCCTCCTGTCGTGGCCTCTTCTGCCCAGTTCCAGAGTGCAGGGCTGGTGAGAAGACTATGTCAGCGGAACACCATTCAGACACAGGAGACCAGGTTCAGTGACACAGGTTTGCTTTATTGCAGGAAGGCACAAGCTTATATAGGGGTAGTGGTCCAAT